GGTCCGGGCTGGGGATTCGAACCTGCCACCTTAGGTGTACGTGGCTGGCGCCTTAGCCGGTTGAGCTATAGGCGCCGAGCCGGATTGAATGTCTTAATGTAGTAAAGTTTTATATCGATTCTTTTCCCCAATAAATCTATACCTTCCATATAATCTTAATAAAAATACCACTGAATTGTTTGAGGAACTCAAACTCATTTTGAAATTTCTATGGAAAAATTGAGGTTCATGAACAATTAAGATGATTTTGAAAAAGAAAAACCAAGTAGGGACTTGGCCGACCAGTTCGTAAGACTTACTACAGAATCAAAGCAATGAATGTAGAATGGTTCTGTCATGGGAACACACTAGTAGGCAAACAGAAAGGAATAGAGAACTCTGAAGTAGACCCATAGAGATGGGACCCTGAGAGATGATGATGGTGGTACTATAAAGCAATGCAAATGAAATGGTCTTAGGAAAACCAAGCCTTCCCCTCACTCCAGCTGGTATAGAGAATGAAATATGAAAGTTCAAATTAAATTATAAGGTCAAGAGAAGAATATGTGTGCATATAACTTGGGGTAGGGGTAGGAAAAACTTCATGAGTAAGATTCAGAAATCTATACCATAAAGCAAATAAAACAAAATGAATAAAAATAAGATAACCACTGATTTGACTACATAAAAGTTCAGGATTTCTCGTCAATAAAGGACACCATGGACAAAATTGACAGATATGTGATAGACTGGAAGAGGATAGTTGCAATATTTAAAACTAATAAAGGTGTGACGCCTAGTTTATATAAAGAACTCCTGCAAAATAACAAGAACAAAATGGGCAAAAGATTTGTGTAGTCACCATACTCCAGAGTGTCCATCTCCAGGCTTCTTTAATGTGATATGGTAACACCCTAATTCGTTTAATAAGCTGCTATAGACCATCTCTGGTCAGGATTGCATTAATGCAATACCCAAGGCTTTTTCTCAAAACAAAACAAAACAAAACATGCCTGTTTTCTAAAGGCCAGAGGTAATGTACAGACTGGTTGCATGATGAGGTCAGGATAACTTGGGCTTCAACAGATTAAGACAAATAAGAGAAGCACTGCCTCAAGTAGCAGTTAAAAATCTTCTTTATTCATTCTCTAATTAATTACTAAAACCTGAAATGTTATCTTTGTTTGTTTGTTTGTTTTGAGACAAAGTTTCACTTTGTTACCCTCTGTAGAGTGCTATGGCATCATGGCTCACAGCAACCTCAAACTCTTGGGCTCAAGAGATCCTATTGCCTCAGCATCCCGAGGCACCAGGCATAACACCTGGATAGTTTATCTATTTTTAGTAGAGAAAAATAGAAAAGACTGGTCTTGAACTCCAGAGTTTGAACAATCCACCTGTCTCGGCCTCCCAGAGTGCTAGGATTACATGTGTGAGCTGCTGCACTCAGCCTCTGAAATACTATCTTAAAGGTATTTTGCAGATGGCATTTTATGGAAATTTCTACCCTATAAAAGGTGAAGAAAACAAAAATATATACCATCTATAAAAAAAGATTTTCCTGGGCACAGTGGCTCACAACTGTAATCCCAGTTACTTGGGAGGCAGAGGTGAGAAGATTGCATGAGGCCAGGAGCTTGAGACAAGCCTGGGAAACACAGAGAGACTTTGTCTGCAAAAGAAAAAAAATTATTTCTTAAATTAGCTGGCCATGGTGGCATATGCCTAGCTACTCAGGAGGTGTAGGTGGGAGGATCCCTTGAGCCCAGGATTTCAAGGCTACAGTGAGCTATGATCATGCAACTGTACTCCAGCCTGGGTGACAGAGCAAGATCTTCAGCTCTCAAAAAAATTATTTAAGTAAGTTCAGCAATTGAGTCATAAATGCATTAAGTAAGGGAAGTCAGAATTTTTTTGGCATTAAATCTTTATTCTACATCATGGACATACTATGTCTTTTCACTAGATTCCTTTGATGGCTCAAGGATCACTGTTGACTTGACAATAGGGTAGAATCCTTAAGTTTTCACATAAGGTGTTTTGTAGAAGGCATGTTAAGGCCTAAGAATGTGTGCAGAACCTAAAGAGGGCAGGTCCTGGCTGGAAAGCTGTTTGTGACAGAGCTAGGAGGCAGTGCACAGGACAAAAAGACATATAGAACAGTGTTTTTAAATGTAGATTGTATTATCACTCAGGCATAGTGAGGCCAATAAATTAGGAGGTGATCTGTCATTGAAAAGATAGTTTATTACTCACAGATTCCAAGAGGTTGAGGCACATCAGGCCTACCAGGCCATGTGGAGAAGTACCACAGTCCATTAGAAGGCACAGGAAATGTGACAAGAGCCTTTATTATTTTTTTCAGTGGGATAAAATAGGAAAGGTAAGGTGAGCAAGCTTAGGACTGACTAGCTTGAATAAGTTCAGTGGGTTCTGAGGTGTAGGGATTGTCCCTAGTAGTTTGGTATCTAACCCTGGAATGATTAGGGTAGGGAATATTGTTTGGAGTGTAATAGCTGCTAAAGGAGGTACAGGGTTGGTGGGCTCTAGGTGGTTAGCTTGCCTATGGCACACTTGCGGTGTGGTGTTTGCTATCTCTAAGAATTAGCTAGCTCTTGTAAGGGCAGTCCCTCGCTAGTCACAGATGTCCCAGGTGCCAGAATATCAAGAATACTGAAAATAAGAAAATACAGTTTTGATAGAAGTGGCCACTAATCTAGGGCACCCAACAGTATTCTTATGTTTAGCTATGTTCAGTAAACACTTATGGATACCTGTTCTGTGACAGGCCTTGTGAGAGAACCAGTACAGTTGCACATCTCAGGCCAAGCTCTCTGAGCTCAGGATCTAAGTGAGCTTGGGGAAGAAAGGAATAGTGTTCCAAAGGAGCCCTCATTAGTTTAAAAGCTGGTGAACCAGGGTCACGCACACTAAAACCCAAATATATCCACCAAACTAGAGCATTCTGCTATAACGCTCCACAGAAAATTGCCTCTTTTCTTTCCTACCAGGACTCTTTTTCTTTCTTTTTTTTTTTTTGCAAGTCAAACATAATATACTTGCTCCCTTTCTCTTAGCAGAGGTGGAGGGGAAGACTGTAAATAGAGGACTCTGCAGAATGACTGAAAAGCAGAGCATCTGAACAGTGTGTTCCAGTCCTGGCTTATCATCTCTATTAATCCTTAGCATATTATTTGTGGGGGACTCAGTGTTCTCAGGTGTAAAACAAAGAGCTAGGACGGAAATGTATGTATACAATAAGGTTTTTCATAGAAAATGGTTAAGTGCAAATGCCTGAGCCCAGACGCTGCAAGATCCGCATCATCAGCCACTTTCCCGCCAGCTCCCTGCGCCCTCACGTGCCACCGCGGCGTTTCTGCACGCAGGACGTGCGCATGCGCACTACCAACCCCTTGCCGCTTCCCGTCGCTTCCTGTTCCGTCTCGGCCCCGCCTACCGCTAGAACTATTGTTTCCGGCTCAGCCCGGGAACTGCCGGAGCGTTTCTGGCTCTGGTTCTCTGGCCCGCCTACTTCCCCGACGCTCCTCCCGCCGTCTGGGGGGCTGGGGAAGGTAGTTGCTGGTAAAGTTTTCCCGTTTCAAGGCCGCGCAGGTTGGGCGGGGCTGTCTTCCGTCCTCTTCGTCGCTGCCCGAAGCTCAAGTCGGCTATCGGTGACGAGTTTCAGGGCGTCATGGCCGGGGCCCACCGCGGCTGGCCGCGTGTGAGGCCGCCATTCGCTGCCCGCGCGCTCCCTTGGCCTCTGGGTCCGCCGGCGCCCGTCTCGGCCTGAGCGCAGCCCCTGCGCGCCCGCGGCCTGTCTGGCGCCAGACCTCATGGCCTCCGAGGCGCAGTCTCCACCGCCGTCACCTTCGTTGTCGCCGCCTGCCTCCCCCGAGCCTGAGTTAGCCCAGCTGAGACGGAAGGTGGAGAAGTTGGAACGCGAATTGCGGAGCTGCAAGCGGCAGGTGCAGGAGATCGAGAAGCTGCTGCATCACACTGAGCGGCTGTACCAGAGCGCCGAAAGCAACAACCAGGAGCTCCGCACGCAGGTGCGCGGTCCGCCTTCAGCCTCGTGCCCTGTTCAGCCAGAGGCGGGGCCTTTGGAGCCTCTGATAGCGTCGCGAGGGTTCCTGGCAGGGGTCAGAACTACTTTGTAGAGTACTTGAAGTAAATAAATAAATACCCAGTGCAATTACGTGTATAATTCCAAGTACAAGTCGAGCAAACCTAAGAGTTCAGGTTACTTGATTAAAATAAATGCCCCACAGTGGTTTGAATAGAACTTAAGTACTTAAGTTGACTTCATTCTCACTTGTCCTAACGTCCCGTTGACAGGCGCGTTTATATTTTATTCTAGGTCATATTTGAGTATGTTAAAGCGCTGAACTTCCATCAGAATCCCATTCCTACCACTCACCAGATGTGTAAACTTCCACTGAGACTCAGTTACCAATAAAATGAGGAAGTTAACTAGCACACAGTTGTGAAGGGTTAGATGTGAGCAAACTGTTTCACAATATTACGAACTGCGGAATGCTTATGTAGGTGTAAGTTGCTATCCTGGGCATTTATCATCTTGGGTTTTCTTGTAGGAATAAAGGTAATAACCGTCTTTGTAGGGGTAATAAGCAGCTTGTTTCGCCTTCCTAATATACAGTAAGGATAAATGCTTAAACTGTCACATTAAAATGCAGAGATCTCAATACGTTTTTCCAGTTTGATCTGTTGGGCAGCTGTACTCTCTCCTGACAAGTTATTTCAACGTAGTTATTAATTTAGATTTAAATGTTGTCTATTCATTCGTAATTTATTGGTGCATTTCCTAAAACCATAGAAATAGGCTAAACACTAAAACGTCATCACAGTTACTTTGTTACTAAATGAGCTATGAAATGCCTGCTGAGTTGCCATGCCTTTGTATGCCCATTACATAGAAATCTAGGCATGACTACGTTGTGGAAATTATGTGTTTTCTCAACAGTTTTTGAATATCTGCAGTGTATAAGAACTGTGCTAGGAGAATATAAACGTGGTAAATTATCATGGGGGGAAGGGAGCAAAATATGACAACCTTAAAAAAATCCTGTTTACAATTCTAAGTTGTTAAAGTACTGCTTCTGTTAGAGGTCCTAGAAGAAAACGTTTTTTTGCTAATCTTTGAAAGGCCATCTTGGTTATTACTGTTGAGTGATACATCAGATTGACTGAATTAAGTGATAGAATTTTGGGAACAGGATCCTTTATTTCTAACAAAAAATGTTTTTATGCTAATATTTTAAAAGGTTAGTAGTTCCCTCTGAAAAATATTAGAAAATTGAAAAACTACAAATTTCTATTTCTACTCAATTATCTGATCTCACTCAGTATCATCCACCTGGAATTACTATTCACTTAAGTATGTTACTGTCATTTTAAGATCTTTAGTATACATTTTTCTTTAAATAGCAGTCTTAGGATTAAGTAATTTCAGCAGAAGGAAACAGAGAATGTGACTGCTGGAGAGGTTGCATTGGTCTTGCATGTACCTCATGCACTGAAATGCCCTTGAAAGGGTACTGCATATGCCAGAGCAGTGGAGTATGGAAATGCCCAGAAGCAGATGAGAGGCTGTCTCAGTCAGTACAGTTCAGTTGGACAGTGTCTGCTACATTCATGACACAAACTACGAAACAAGCTTCTAAATATTTCTTTAATGATACAGAAAACTTGAAAAGAGAAAGCTAGGAAATGAGTAGGTCTTAGCATTTCTCTAAAACTTTCACCAAGGAAAATAATTACCTGTGATAGTAAGAGAATGGTGTTTGTATATATATACATATATATATAATTATATTGTTGAACATTTTTTTTCTAAAAAATTATTTTCCCTTGTTTTCAGTTGTTTTTTTTTTTGTTTTTTTCAGGTGGAAGAACTTAGTAAAATACTCCATTGTGGGAGAAATGAAGATAATAAAAAGTCTGATGTAGAAGTACAAACAGAAAACCATACTCCGTGGTCAATCTCAGGTAGTCAACTCTTAGGACTTAGGATATCCGGTTACGTGTACTTTTACATTCATATCATGTTAATGTAGAGTTTGCTTTGAAATAGACTAAGATCTAGATAAATATGAGAAATATTGTAACATTGGCTTCTCCCTATGATTCAGTGTTTTCAGATAATCATTTTGTTTTTCTGGTGGAATAAGTAGAAATGCTTTGTCATTGCTGTATTCTCTGATGTTGCTAATATGTTTTTAGCATGGCACACTCATTGAGTAATTTTCGATATGCAATAAACCATCTACTTTCATTTCTGGCTTTCCTTGTGATCGGGGGCATGTATTTTCTTTTTTTTTTTGAGACAGAGCCTCAAAAAAAGGCTCTGGGTAGAGTGTTGTGGCATCACAGCTCACAGCTACTTCCAACTCCTGGGCTCAAGCGAGTCTCCCACCTCAGCCTCCCAAGTAGTTGGGACCATAGGCACCTGCTACAACGCTTGGCTATCTTTTTGGTTGCAGCCATCATTGTTGTTTGGCGGGCCTGGCCTGGATTCGAACCTGCCACCTTAGGTGTATGTGGCTGGCGCCTTAGCCACTTGAGCCACAGGCGCCGAGCCGGGAGCATGTATATTCTTTTGATGTATTCCACTTAGTTTTGTGTACAGTGCCACTCTCATTAGTCTGTGTGGCAGGGGTGAGTCCACCACCAAAGCCTTGTCAGTGAGCTTGTGTTGTAAGGCAAAGTAACTGAGATAGTGAGTTTTGAAGTTTTAAAGTATGGGTCACAAGAAGAGGTAATCTTTCCCACTAAGTTTTGCCTTGATTTATTAAGGACATAATTTAACTAAATTGCTAAACACAGCAGTAGTACTAATTTCACATATACATACATGGTATATTTTTTTAAAAGTTAGTATCAGGGCCTGGTGCAGTGGCTCACGCCTGGAATCCCAGCACTTTGGGAGGCCAAGGTAGAAGGATCACTTGAGCTCAGGAGGTTGAGACCAACCTGGCAATGCAGAAAGACCCTGTCTCTACAAAAAGTTAAAAATCAGCTGGGCATGATTGTGCATGTCTGTAGTCCGAGCTACTTGAGAGGCTGAGGCAGGAGAATTCCTTGAGCCCAGGAATTTGAGGCTGCAATAAAATATGATTGTGCCGCTGCATTTCAGCTTGGGTGTCAAAGCAAGACCCTGTCTCTAAAAAAACAAAGCCAGCGTCAGGACAGAAATTTTGAGAGGACAGAAAAATCAACTCTTGATCCTTTACCTTTATTTTATTGCTAATTGATAAGCACTGTTAAGATATGTGGTTAGACGTTAAGAGTTGCTAAGTTTTTTTTGACAGAAACAACTCTATTTTCTTTTTATCTTTTTATGGCGAGTCCAAATCTACTTACCTTTGTTTTTCTTTATAGCTTGACAGCTGGGGTACTGAAAGAGACTCAGAATCGATGATACATTCTTCTGCAGAAGTGTCTGCACCATGAGTTTTAACCCTTTAAAATGTGTATAGTTCTGTAAATTGTGATTTAATTGCAATATGTGCTGTTTGTGTTTAGTGCCAGTGTTTTAGAATTAAGTCCTTTTTATATACACTATTCTAATATATGATATAACTTAATTTGTTTTTGCTATAGATTATTATTATCAGACATACTATAATGATGTTAGTCTTCCAAATAAAGTGGCTGGACTTTCAGATCAGCAAGATCAAGATATCGAATCTCCTACTTCTGATTCTAAAGACCAGTCACAAATAGAAAATGATGCACACACTGGTACTGATGGAACAGAAAATGTTCAATGTAGACAAGACCATTTTGCCTCAAAATCACAGGTAATAAAATGCTGAATAAGAAACTGTTGATGCTTAAGAACTTGTTCTTTGTTGTTACATAAAACAATTCACTTCTTTAGTCCATCAGAACATACACAAAGATTATAAACATTCTTACATATAATTATGCAGGGAGTATTTTAGTTTTTGAAGAACAGGAAGTAGCAAATTGTTCATATTATAATTGTGTTACTGTTAAATTGTGTTCCAGAATTTTATGATACATAAAAACAAACTAAAATAAAGAAAATCTGTCAGTATATTTTCACTCAATCAGAAACTTTTGGCAACCATCACAGTACCATATTCACACCTAAAAAAGTTGATGCTTCCTTTATGTCAAATATCCTGTCACTTTTCTAATTTCTCTGAGTGTTTTATAAATTTGTTTTTACAGTTTGAGTTAGGATCCCCACTGTGTGTGATGTATTTCACTTAATCTGTAGCTCTCTTCTCTATCTCTTTCTGAATGTTTTTTCCCATTGAACATGTAATTAGAGAATCTAGATAATTTGTCTTGGAATATTTCAAGGTCTATATTTTGTGAATTGTTTTCCTATGGGATCATACATTTATTTTTAATAATTGTCACTTTAGTGTCTTCAAAGCTGCATCAAAGTCGAATTAACTGATGCATTACTTTAAAAGTAGTTAAAATTGTAATTGATTGCCACCTCTTTCCATCTTAGGAGGTTGAAACCAGCCCAGCAGTGCAGAGAGCCCCTGTCTCTACTAAGTTTATTTAATGACTTCAATATTTAATTTCTTCAATTTAAGTTTTTTTTTTTTTTTTGAGACGGAGCCTCAAGCTGTCCCCCTGGGTAGAGTGCCATGGCATCACGCTCACAGCAACCTCCAACTCCTGGGCTCAAGCGAGTCTCCTGCCTCAGCCTCCCAAGTAGCTGGGACTACAGGCGCCCACCACAATGCCCGGCCATTTCTTGGTTGCAGCCATCATTGTTGTTTGGCGGGCCCGGGCTGGGGATTTGAACCCGCCACCTTAGGTGTATGTGGCTGGCGCCTTAGCCGCCTGAGCCACAGGCGCCGAGCCTCAATTTAAGTTTTGAAGTTTGTTTACTTGTTTCACATTCTGCTAACTTTAAAATTGATATACAGAAGTTTTTTTTTTTTCTTTTTTTGGCATGCCTGTATCTTCTGTAGGAGCCAGTGTCTGCATTAGCAACAGAAGATGCATCTCTAGAAGGTTCATCATTAGCTGAAAGTCTAAGAGCTGCAGCAGAAGCTGCTGTATCACAGACTGGATTTAGTTATGATGAAAATACTGGACTGTACTTTGACCACAGCACTGGTTTTTACTATGACTCTGTAAGTATGTCACACCTTTTAATTCTGTATGGTTAAATTTTCAGTGCCTGCTACCAAATATTAAACCCTAATTTGAAGTAAGAAAAGAAAAAACCTGCATTTAAAAATTATGTTTGAGTCAAAGCTATTTGACAAAAGAATTACAAAGTGGCTTGTGATGCTATACTTCTAGGTTTTTAGTTGTGGTTACTTTAGATTAATGTTTTAGAGTGGCCTAATAACATTTTATATGTGAAGTAACATACAAAAATATTAGAGCTTTTATTAATAAAAACAAGATAATTAACTACATTCTTGTCAAATGTTTAAGAACCTAAACTGATATTATTTTTCATAGAATTTCAGGGAAATAAGATTGTTAATCCTAGGCTTGAGGTGAGATTTGTAAAAATTGTCTTGAATACTTTTATGAGTTCATTTTAGGCCACAGAGGGAGACTTTTTCTTGAATTTTCAGTAGCATGTTTATTACTAGTCAATAATATATTCTGTGTCTTTCAAGCATTTTACTTTTTAAAAAAAATCAGTCTTAACAGAAATAGGAAATTAATGTGGGGTCAGAAATATAATGAATAACTGACTGGGACAGAACCAGAAAATAAAGCTCTTGATTTATTAATGAAATACAGCCTTATGGATATTGGAGTCTATTTCTTATTTAGATTTCATTCAAGAGTTGATGAAAATGGGCTTGGTGGGATGGCTCACACCTGTAATCCTAGCACTCTGGGAGGCTGAAGCAGATGAATATCTTGCCTTCAGGGGTTTAAGACCAGCCTGAGTAAGAGCAAGACCCTGTCTCTACTAAAAATAGAAAAAGTAGCCAGGTATGGTGGTGCATGCCTGTAGTCCCAGCTACTCAGGAGACTGAAGCAGGATCTTTTGAGCCTAAGATTTTGAGGTTGCTGTGAGCTATGATGATGCCATGGCACTCTACCCAGGGTAACAGAGTGGAAAAAAAAAAAAAAAAGTGGAACTCACCTACATACCTCAGTGCTAAGCACTAAAATCTAGATCCTTGAGGTCCCCTGGAGAATTATAGAATGTGGTGCCCAGAAGTGGAGTAGGTGTTCATCCTTCCAGTTCCTGGAGCTATTGTTAACTAATCTAGGGAGCATAATGATGATACTAATTAAGAGCACATGGTAAATACATAATTTTCTAATTCCTTTGTGAAGAGAGGTTTTCTTTCACAGGAGTGTGCTAATTGACAGTGTTAATTGATACCTAGAAAATGAATATTAAACTCTTATTCAGAGGGAGTAGCTGTTACTTACTGAGTTCCTAGACAGAGTTTCCAGACAAATAGAGTATCCAGGTAGACATTAGTTTTTGTCATTCTTCTGTCTTTCCTTTGATATTAGTTCTGTAAGTAGTTATATTTGGCAGGTTATATATCTGAATAAATTAGGGACTTCATTGCGTTCTATTTTTATTGTGCTAGCTTTCATTTTATTTTAATTACTTTTTGTCTTGTACTTCAAAAATGTAGGTATATTTTGTACTGCCACACATAACCGATTAAAAAGATTTGAGTTAGAAATAAAAATTAGAAGCCAGACGTTGTGGCAGGCAGCTAAAGTCCTAGCTACTCAGGAGGCTGAGCCAGGAGAAGAATCACTTGAGCCCAGGGGTTAGAGATTGCTGTAAAGTAGTCTGTCTTCAGCCTAGACAATAGAGTGAGACTCTATCTCAAAAAAAAAAAAATAAAGACTAGAGAACTTCCATTCAGTTTCTTAGTTAAGAGAAAGATGATAAGAATTCTAAATACTTTTCTAAGAGATCTACAAAATGCATGGAATAAAGATGATAAATTGCAATAATACCAGTGGTTAGAAAAATAAATTATTCTTTTCCAGGAAGTTTTAGTTGCTCAATCTCAGTACATCATATGATATTTCCAGGTCTGATCTGCATGGATTTATGATATAAATAAAATATAGACTGTTCAGTTAAATCTTGGTTATGGAGTACTGGCCAGTATCTATATAAATGCAGGTGATTACATAATTTTATCTTTCTAGTTTTTAATCCATAATTTGCAGAAATTCATTTTTGCATGGCTGCTTTACTCATAAGATTACTTACTTTACTGTAGAACTAATCAATTAACAAAGACAATTGTTTATTAATTTCTTTCTATAGAAATTGTGTTGTGGTATTTAGGAGCTTAACTTTATTTTCAAATTTTTCTTCTTTGAATGAACTTTAAAAGGCAAGTCTTTATTTTATGACATTGAGAGGAGCGTTATACTGTCAAACCAGTATTACACAAACACAAATAACAGTAAAACTAGAATTGCTTTCATATGGCCAGCTTTCCCTTAGCATGTCTTTTAGTTTTCATGCCTTTGTAAAGATTTCTTGTCATTTTTTGTTAATGTATTTAGTTGAACCATATGAAATTGCTGTTTCTCGTAAGTAAAATAATGTCCAAATATTGGTAGTTTGTAATGATTCCACTTAATATTTAGATTGATTCATTTTTCACACTAGGAAAATTAGAGCAAATACTGAATGATAAAGTATTTGGAAAATTATAAGCAGTTTTTATTATGTTATATTTATTGTCTTCTGAAATACTATTGTTATTAAAAGAACGTTTACTAGTTTGAGTACATTTGGCATATCTGTTAAGTTTATGTTTCCATTTTATTTCTTGTTATATAAGTAGAACTTACTGTTTTCTTGACTTTGAAAGGAAAATCAACTGTATTATGATCCTTCCACTGGAATTTACTACTATTGTGATGTGGAAAGTGGTCGATATCAATTTCATTCTCGGGTAGATTTGCAGCCTTATCAGACTTCTAACACAAAACAAAGTAAAGATAAAAAATTGAAGAAGAAAAGAAAGGATCTGGATTCTTCTGCAGCAAATGAAGAAAAGGTAATGTCTTTATAAAAAAATTTACATAATGATGATAACATGATAAACCAAAAGTTTTAATAAAGATGAGAATCATTTATGTTTAAAACATATGCATTGAGATAAGGTGTCAGAATCCAACAACCAGGGAGATCTTAAATGAAACAGATAAGGACTTACAAATTCTTAGTCACTAGAAATAGAAGATATTTCTTAAAATTTGAAGGAGATAGATTTAGGGCAGATTAAATACCTTGGGTTTAATTTGGAATAATATTCAGACCCTTAGTCGATAAGTTGATGTCAATGTACAATTCACAAAATATAGTTTATAGGTAGACAAGTTCAACTTTCTTAGTCATGTGAGCAATTTCTTGCCTATTAAATTAGCAAACATTAAAAAAAAAAATCCATTGCTGGGGCAGTGCCTGTGGCTCAAAGGAGTAAGATGCCAGCTCCATATGCTAGAGGTGGCGGGTTCAAACCCAGCCCTGGCCAAAAACTGCAAAAAAAAAAATCCATTGCTGGCCAATAGGAGTGAGGTACGTATTTATTAGGATTAAGAGTTTAAGTGGCCTGCAATATACTTGTTAAGAAATTGATAGTAGGCTCGGCGCCTGTGGCTCAGGTGGCTAGGGTGCCAGCCACATACACCTGAGCTGGTGGGTTTGAATCCAGCCTGGGCCCGCCAAACAACAATGGTGGCTGCAACCAAAAAATAGCTGGGCGTTGTGGCAAGACATCTGTAGTCGCAGCTACTTGGGAGGCAGAGGCAGGAGACTTGCTTGAGCCCAGGAGTTGGAGGTTGCTGTGAGCTTTGATGCCATGGCACTCTACCCAGGGCGACAGCTAGAGGCTCTGTCTCAAAAAAAAAAAAGAAAGAAAGAAAGAAATTGATAGTACATAGGCCAGGCGTGGTGACTCATGCCTCACGCCTATAATCCTAGCACTCTGGGAAGCTGAGGCAGGTGGATTTCTTGAGTTCAGAATTTCAAAACCAGCCTGAGCAAGAGATCCTGTCTCTACCAAAAGTAGAAAAAATTAGCCGAGTGATGTGGCAGATGCCTATAGTTCCAGCTACTCGGGAGGCTGAGGCAAGAGGACTGTTTGAACCCATGAGTTTGGGGTTGCCATGATTTATGAAGCCATGGTACTCTACCTAGGGTGACAGAGTAAGACTCTGTCTCAAAAAAAAAAGGAATGGATGGTATATTGAATGAAAAAGTGTTACTTAGGCATTGAAATGATACTTAAAAAAACTGAAGGGAATTTTAAAAAATGCTTATGATATGCATTGTGATAGAACTTTGAATTGAAAGAAAAAACATAAAAAATATACCAGTGTTCTTGCCACTCCCTAAACAGATAAGGTTGGTAGTTGATAGTCGGGAAAGGAGGCTTATTTTATTTGCATTTTGGCAATTGTAGCAACTATTTGATACTTTACTCTTGAAATTTTATCTCGTGTATTTTTCTTCTTAACCAGAGCAAGATTAGTAAAATTTGCTTTAATTAAATTTAATTAAAAATAATACTAAATTCTAGCGGGGTATCCAACCTGTGGCTCACAGGCCACATATGGATTATATGAGGACTGTTTCGCTGATCTGTCAAACACTGAAAATTATGCTGGGCCATTTTTTTTTTTTTTTTTTTTACTCATTAACTTTGGTTAGTGACTGTGTACTTAATGTGTTGCAGAGAAAAAATAAAAAGGATACCCCGGTTTCACTTGTAGAATTAGGATTCTGTTGGATTTACTTTCTGTTCTTTATTTGATTTGTTTCAAATATTTGAACCTATAAATGGAAGAGTATATGACTGAATATGAAGCGTGATTTTTCTGTTTGCTTTCAAGACCTGTATTTTACTGGGCTTATGCCTGTTTCTAGTGGTTGAACTGTTTGAAAGGCTGGGTTCTGAAGTCACCTCTCCCTGGCAGTGAGAAAAGAGTAAATATACAGGGATTGCCAAAGGGCCCTCCCTGCCAAAGCATTCTGTGATACTTTGGTCCAGCCGCGCTCGTAATTGCTTATCTTTAACATCCTCCTTTGAAAGTATGTGAACTCCAGGACAAGAACTTCAGAAAAACCCTGATGAAATTTTGAGGATTCTAGAAAGAACTGTGAGGCTCTGAGAGACCAGTTAAAGTGTCCTCATCATGTTCTTTATTTTTTAAGATACTCCTGAGGCTTGCTTTCTGTAGGTAGAGGCTGTGTGGAAGGAAGACAATAGGGTGAGGAGATTAAATGGCTTGAAATATACATACATGCCTCAATGCCGGTATGTAAACCCCCTTTCTTATCTCTTGATAGCTAATGCGGTATAGTGGCAAATAGCTTATAAAAAGAAGGACCTCTTGTAGTTTTCCTTAGTTTTCCCCTGCATGTGTTGTCCACAAGCAATAGTAATAATAACAATAAAATATACGAGATTAGAAACTGCTTTTTAAAAAGTATATCTAGATAGGGAAAATTTTCACTGTAATTTATGAAGCTTACAAAGCTCCTCATAGTTTTCCAGCTCCTTGCCCTTGTTCTTGTCCTTGGCGAGTTTGTATTGCTTCAAGTGTATATAGTTTATCATACTCTGAATGTTTAGCCAGTCTCCAAATAGAATTTATGTTGCTATTAAAAATATGTGCATGAGCTACTGTCATATTTTATAAAATAACAGGAACATATGAACTCACTTCATCATGTTGCCCTGAGGTAGAAAGAAAATGGAGAGTGTATTACAAACCAAAAGAAAAAGAGGAGAATAACTCTTTGCTTCTTATAAGGCTAAAGTAATAGAATTGTCTCTTGTACAACATGGTCACTGTAGTTAATAACAATATAGTATTTTTGAAAATTGCTGAGAGTAAATTTTAAGTGTTCTTCTGACAAAAAATGATAACTATGTGAGGTAATGTGCGTGTTCATTAGCTCGATTGAGCCATTCTACAATGTATACTTAATTTCACAAACTTGTGTTGTATATGATAAAAATGTATAATTTTTGTTTAAAAATAGATTTGTTCCTTTACCATAAGGCATTCTAACTATACATGTGACAACTAATTAATAATAGAAGGCTTATACTCTGTAAGGTGAAATTTTGGAATAAAAGAGAAATAACTAATTTGTACCTTAAACCTCTGTGTATTAACAAGCCAATAAAGTATTAAATTTTAGCAAAAGTATAATTTTGCTACATTGGGTATGGTACAATATTTAAATTCACATTGTAAATAAATTCAATTCTGTATTTTATACGTTGACTTACTAATTAGTTAAGAGTTTAAAAAGAGAATTTAGAGTATTCTCTGGCCTGCAGTATCCAATAGAGTAGCCACTCGCTGTGTGTGTGACCAGTGAGCATGTGAAGTGCAGCTAGTCCAAAATGAGATGTGCTGAAGGGTAACTACACTCTGGATTTTGAAGATATGATATAAAAATGGACATAAACTACTCATTATTTACTTTTTAGGCTTGGCACCTATAGCTCAGTGGTTACAGTACCAGCCACATACACTGAGGCTGGCGGGTTCGAACCTGGCCTGGGCCAGATAAACAACAATGATAATTGCAACAAAAAATAGCTGGGTGTTGTGGCAGGCGCCTATAGTCCTAGGTACTTAGGAGGCTGAGGCAAGAGAATCGCTTGAGCCTAAGATTTTGAGGTTGCTGGGAGCTGTGTTACGGCACTCTACCAAGGGCGACATAGTGAGATTCTGTCTCAAAAAAAATAATATATATTTTTTTTAATGTGGCTACTAGAAAATAGAATCACAGATATGGCTTACATTATATTTTTATCGCACCTCATTCTCTGGTAGGCTATCACATGGTTCAGGAAATACATGATGAGGGCCCAGACTGAGCATGTTAGGACAGTGACATTAAGAAAAGGAAGGCAGGCAGATTTGGAATAAACTAACTATATGTGGTTCTCTAGCGCTTAGTCATTAATTCCATACAGTGAGTGGTTAAAGGGGTGTCAAAGATAACTATACGATTTTTAACTTGGATGGTAAGGGAATGGTGATTATCATTAACCAATAAAAGGAAAGTAAGAAGAGAGAATACAGATTATAACTATTGTTATTTTACAGTACATGTATCTACTAACTCTTTGAAACTTGATATGATGTTATATTGTGTGTTTAAGATGATTCTACCCTGTTCCTACCTCTCTACCCTTCTCCAGGATTTGAATTCAGAAAATCAAAACGTCTCCAGTGTTGAACATTTAAGCTGCAACGAGGGAGAAAATTTTGCAAATGTGAAAAAGAAGGCCAAAGTAGACAATCGTTATAAAAACAGTCCACCAGAATTTACTATTCCAGTGAGTGGAAACACTGTACAATCTCTTTTTAATGAAAACGTTTGTAATTCAACTTCATTTAAAGACGAGGAAATCATAGAGACTGATAGTGAGCCAGAAGAAGGTGAAATCACAGACTCTCAGACTGAAGATAGTTATGATGAAGACGTTCCCAGTGAAGACCATGTAACCTCAGAAGATACTGAGAATGAAGGTGAGTAAATAATTAGTGTTTAATTTAAGTCTGGTAATATGAAAGAGCAAAATAATTGAAATTATTAGTGACTCATGCAGTATACCTGCCAAGAAATAAACTGATCATTTTAATGACATTATTGAATGTTATGTGGGCTACCACTCGGGTATTTTTAGGGAGTAGAATGTGATTATTAGTGACTAATACTTGGATCTTCAGAAAATTTTATTGTAGCCTGAAGGCCACATGTGGCCCTCCAGATCCCTAAGTGTGGCCCGGTGACCGAATCCAAACTTTACAGAACAAACCTTTTTAAAGGGATTTATACTAAGAAGTTTGGAGTCAGTCAAAGGATCCAGAAGGCCATAGTTTCCCCACCCCTGACTCAGTAGAGCACAAAACCAAGTTACCTGTGTTCTAAAACATATATTAAGGCTGTTTTAGTAGGTTAGGTATTTGTAGTCTATTTTTGTAACTAAGTGGAGAAAAAGCAAGTTGCCTTTAAAAAGTATAGTTAATAAATTCAGTTGCTGGCTCGGCACCCTTAGCACAGTGGTTATGATGCAAGCCCCATACAATGAGGGTGGCAGGTTCGAACCCAGCCCAGGCCAGCAAAACAACTGCAACCAAAAAATAGCCGGGTGTTGTGGTGGGTGCCTGTAGTCCTAGCTACTTGAGAGGCTGAGGCAAGAGAATCGCTTAAGCCCAGGAGTTTGAGGTTGCTGGGAGCTGTGATGCCACGGCACTCTATGAAGGGTGACATAGTGAGACTCTGTCTCAAAAATTAAAAATTAAAAAGAATTCAATTGCCGGCTCGGCGCCTATAGCTCAACAGGCTAAGGCGCCAGCCATGTACACCTAAGGTGGCGGGTTCG